TTTTTCCCGGCTTGAAAGATCCTGGGATCCCCCAGGAATCCACTGTGGGGCCGGGATCCCCAAATGGGATCCCCAGCCGGGGATTTTCCTGCCCAGGAGATCCCAGGATCCCTCAGGGATCCACTGTAGGGCTGGAGAGCCTGGGGGAGGCCAGGGGGTGGGGATCGGGGGATCCAGAGGGGTTGGGATCCACCCCGAGGGGCTGGGATCCACCCAGAGGGGCTGGGATCCACCCTGAGGGATCAGGAGGGGCTGGGACCCATCCCGAGAGATCAGAGATGATCCTGAGGGATCAGGAGGGGCTGGGATCCATCCAGAGGGATCAGGGAGAATCCAGAGGGATCAGGGAGGGGCTGGGATCCATCCCGAGGGATCAGGAGGTGTTGGGATCCACCCCAGAGGGATCAGGGAGGATCCGGAGGGATCAGGGAGGGGCTGGGATCCACCCCAGAGGGATCAGGGAGGATCCAGAGGGATCAGATGGGGCTGGGATCCGCCCAGAGGGGTTGGGATCCACCCTGAGGGATCAGGGAGGGGCTGGGATCCATCCCGAGGGGCTGGGATCCATCAGGAGGGGCTGGGATCCATCCCGAGGGGCTGGAATCCCTCCCGAGGGATCAGAGATGATCCTGAAGGATCAGGGAGGGGCTGGGATCCATCCTGAGGGATCAGGGAGAATCCGGAGGGATCAGGGAGGGGCTGGGATCCATCCTGAGGGATCAGGGAGAATCCGGAGGGATCAGGGAGGGGCTGGGATCCACCCCAGAGGGATCAGGAGGGTCTGGGATCCATCCCGAGGGGCTGGGATCCATCCAGAGGGATCAGGGAAAATCCAGAGGGATCAGGGAGGGGTTGGGATCTATCCCGAGGGGCTGGGATCCATCCAGAGGGATCACGGAGGATCCAGAGGGATCAGATGGGGCTGGGATCCACCCAGAGGGACCAGGGAGGGACTGGAATCCATCCCGAAGGACTGGAATCCATCCTGAGGGATCAGGGAGGATCCAGAGGGATCAGGGAAGGGCTGGGATCCACCCAGAGGGATCAGGAGGGGTTGGGATCTATCCCAAGGGGCTGGGATCCATCCAGAGGGATCACGGAGGATCCAGAGGGATCAGGGAGGGGCTGGGATCCATCCAGAGGGATCAGGAGGGGCTGGGATCCCCCTGGCAGGACCAGGGGTCTGTGGATCCCGGCGGATCCCGGCGGATCCCTGCCCGATCCCTGTCCCCTGCAGGCGGCTCCGGCCCCGCGGCGGCTCCGGCGGCTCCGCGGCAGCGCCGGGTGACGGCGGCGGCGCCGGGGCGCTACCGGATCTCCGCGCCCGAGCGCCGGATCCCGCGGCAGATCCCGCGGCTGATCCCGCGGCAGATCCCAGGTGCGGATCCCCGGCGGATCCCCGGCGGATCCCCGATCCCGCAGCCCCGCACTTCCCTGCTGGGAAAGGGCAGGGGATCCCGAATTTCCCCTCCTGGGTCCTGGAATTCCCCTCCCGAATCCCAGATTTCCCATCCAGATCCCAGATTTCCCCTCCTGGATCTCAGATTTCCCCTCCAGATCCCAGATTTCCTCTCCTGGATCCCGGATTTCTCTTCCAGATCCCAGAATTTCCTTCCCAGATCCTAAATTTCCCTTCCAGATCCCAAATTTCCCCTCCCAAATCCCAGATTTTCCTTCCCAGATCCCAGATTTCTTCCAGATTCTGAATTTCCCTCCCAGATTCCAGAATTTCCTTCCCAGATCCTAAATTTCCCTTCCAGATCCCAGATTTCCCCTCCCAAATCCCAAATCTTCCTCCCAGATCCCAGAATTTCCCTCCCAGATCCCGAATTTTCCCTCCCAGATCCCAGAATTTCCCTTCCAGATTCTGAATTTCCTTCCCAGATCCCAGATTTCCTCTCCCAAATCCCAGATTTCCCTCCCAGATCCCAGATTTTCACTCCAGATCCTAAATTTCCCTCCCAGATCCCAGATTTCCTCTCCCAAATCCCAGAATTCCCTTCCCAGATCCCGGATTTCCCTCCCAGATCCCAGAATTCCCCTCCTGGATCTCGAATCCCCCATTTTCCCCAAAATCTTCCATTTTTCCCCAAATCCCCCCATTTTTCCCCAAACTCCCCCAAAATCCCCCATTTTCTCTCCAGATCTACCATTTTCCCCCCAAACCCCCCATTTTCCCCAAATCCCCCCA